AAGAAAGGAGTACGAGTAGCATATATCCAAGCTATAAAGGATATGTATGATGGAGCAAAGACTGTTGTAAGAACTCATGAAGGACAAACCGAAAGCTTCCCTATAACTGTAGGGTTACATCAAGGCTCATCCTTAAATCCTTACCTTTTTGCATTGGTAATAGATGAGTTAACGGGACATATTCAAGATGATATTCTTTGGTGTATGCTTTTCGCAGACGATATATTGTTGATGGGTAAATGCGAAGCTTAACCTTTGGAGAGAAGTGTTGGAATCTAAAGATCTTCGCCTAAGCCGATCAAAGACAGAATATATGGAGTGCAAGTTCAGTGCAAATGGAGGCCCAAATGAGTTAGGGGTGAGGATCAGAGATCAGGAAGTACCAAAGAGCGACTGTTTTCGCTACCTAGGATCTATTTTGCAAAAGAAAGGAGAATTAGATGGAGACCTCAACCATAGAATACAAGCTGGATGGATGAAGTGGAAGAGTGCATCAGGCGTGTTGTGTGACCGCTATATGCCACTTAAGTTCAAGGGAAAATTTTATAGGACGACAATAAGGCCGGCGATGCTATATGACACGGAATGTTGGGCGGTGAAGCATTAACACGTACATAAAATGGGTGTAGCGAAGATGAGGATGCTTTGTTCGATGTGTGGGCACACAAGAAAGGATAAAATTAGGAATGAGGATATATGAGGTAAAGTAGGAGTAGCTGAAATTGAAGGATATATGATAGAAAATTAGTTACAGTGGTTTGGACATGTCCAAAGAAGGCCTACTAACGCTTCAGTTAGAAGATGCGACTACAGGACAGAAGTCCAGGGCCGAAGGGGTAGAGGAAGACTTAGGAAAACTTTAGAAGAGACTCTAAGAAAAGACTTAGAGTATTTGGATCTAACGGAGAACATGACACAGAACCGAGCGCAATGACGTTCTAGGATTCATATAGCTAACCCCACTTAGTGGGAAAATGTTTTGTTGTTGTTGTTGTTGTTGATGTGTTTACCTGTCTCGCTTCGCTCTCCATGCTCATAGTAGTCATTGTAAGATTAGGAAAGCAGCCATAAAATCTTGGGTGTAATCGGTGTTTTATCACTCACTTTCAATCTCTCATATCACATGATACGGGAGATAGATGGAGGGTGGTAAGTCATTGATTATACGGTGGAATATCTCCTATTAGAGGATTGTTACTGTTCTTAACTGTTAATGCATGTTGGTTTAGGAATGATTTTTCGTTCCCCATTTGCCCTCCTTACCTCCCCCTACTTGTTTATGTCCCAATGATGATATAAAAATATACAAATTTATGTCCAATCATCCCATAAGATGAGTATTGACTGACTTTATAACCGTAATCAGCCACCACCTTTTGGGTTGGAAATGTCAAGGTCCCCTAGTCAAAGCTTATGTCGAGACTTTTGGTTATTGGACTTGTATGGCTCCTCCAAGAGGAAGCAACTTTTATGAAATTGGTTCACTAATTTCGTGGCGTTTAATGCTTTGACATGCGCCTTATTTGGCGGTGAACCAGTTCCATGTAAACCCTTTCCCTCAAAGCCTTAAAGTGTTACTATGACTTACATTTGCTGCTAACAATGAAGGGTTACTGAATTTCCAGTATTTTTTTATTTGGAGAGAAGAAGATTGTACATGGGAATCAAAGCTCTACCTTTTGGTTAAATCGCTTTCAGAAATCACCTACATACAAACTTCAAACTGCCTTAAGCATTTTATGCGGATCTAACTGTTCAGACAATGTTCGTATCGATTTAATTGTTTAGACAATATCCGTATCAAAGAAGTTATGATAAGTTCAATACCATGGCCATACCATTCATGATGCCTGATGCCATATGTAGTGGGTCTATCGAGACTAACTTCAACCCTTGGAGTAAGTCTTAAAATTCCCTTCTATTCCCCCCGCCCCCCACCCACCCACCTCCTATCATTTCATTCCAACTCTTGTGCTAAAATGGGGTTAAGTGTTAGAACTAAAAAAAAACCCAAATTTCAGACAAGATTTAGCCCAAAATTAGTGGAGCCCAATGTAAGCGTGGAACAAGGGAAGTGAACTGGACTTGTTTAGATAAGATACGTGCATGGCCTACACGCACTTCCTCTCCCAAAAAAAAAAATCAAATATAATATATATTTATTGAATCCAATGGTTGAGATCAAATATAATTAAATAACGGTAAAAAAGTTGGATAAAAAAAATATAAAAAAAATTATTTAACTCAAAATTCACCCAAAAACTCTATAAATACCTATGTATTTTTTCAAACATCCACAAAAAACTCACTTTTCTCCTATAATTCTTCCAATTTTTCTTTTTACCATCTTCCAAGACCATTTCTTCCAATTTCCAAATTTTTCAACATGGCAAAAGATCATATTAGAGGTCCTAATTGGTCATTTGAGGAAGATATTGCTTTATACTTGGCATGTGTTTCTATTACCGAAGATGGTGCTGTTGGCACAAATTAAAATAAAAAGGTTTTGTGGGCTTGCTTGGTATTGTGTCATCTGTATTGTCAAGTTACGCCTTTTTCTATCACTCATTGATGAGATATTGATGATTTTGAAGAAAAAAAAAAAACTATGAAATTTGGATGATTGGTGAATATGTTGTGTGATGGTTAGATATTCAACCTATGCTTATATAGAGGATGCTTGAAGGTTTGTGTTTCATGTGTTTTATATGTATTTGGTACGTGTTTCGTGTATTTCATGTGTTTGGTGTGTTATTCATTTTTATCATGTGTTTTGTGTTTATACATCTCTATCATGTGTTTCATATCCTTCCATAGTGTTTAATGAGTTTCATGTGTCGATTCCGTGATTTTTCAATATTTTTAGGTTAAAATGTTCATAAAATTAATTTAGGATAGTCCACATATTTTTTTTTATTTAAAAAAAGTAGCCTAAATTCATTGTTTAATAATCTGAGGCTAAAATTTTAGGCTAAAAGGGTTAGAGTAGAAAAGCTGTTTCTGGGTTAAACCTAAATTTTCTGGGCTAAAAATTTTAGGTTGTAACCCAAGAGTTGGAGATTGTCTAAGAGAGACAGCTTTTAAGACAAGTACGAGTCTCAATATTACAAATAAATTGCCTTCGATTCTTAACGCTGGTGAATTGCACGATGGTGGCTAGAGATAAACTATGCCTTTATGAGTCTTTCCAGTCTCCGGAAGGGTGGATTGACGTGATGAAACCATCAACTCGTCTCCTTTAAAAAAAAATCAAATGAAAAATTATAGTTTTTTACTCGTGAACAAGTAATGAAGAGGGCCTTCGTAAAACTAAAAAGAAATAAAACTTTTTATTTGCTAGTATTTTCGTTCTCTAGTATAACAAAAATGTGAATTCAAGTCGAGTTTGTCAAAAAAATTTACTAATTTGATCTAAAGGGATGAGAGCACATAGTTCTAGTCTACTTGATTGAGTCCAAGTCTATAGATTTGTAAACACTTTGTTAGGTTTTGATAGTTTATAAACTCATTTCCATTTCTAAAAATAACGAATTAAAAATCATACTACAGTCTAATTCTTTCCCCTTTGTAATTCAGAAGTCTGTTTAAATCCTAAAAATAATGAATTCACAATTAATTTATTACTCGTTGTCATAAATTGGTTTGCGGGAATAAAATGTAGAGAATGTTGGAATTAAAGTATATAAAGAAAATAGAGAATAGAGAAACACAAGAGAGAAAGTGGAGGAGAATCAAGATCTCTTTCCTTCTTATTAGAGTGTCTATTTATAGGCGTAGAATTTACAGAAAAAAGTATTTAACTATTAAGATATTACATATTGACCTAGAATGTGAAAAGCCACATAGTAGTATTATTTATAACATTTCCCCTTTAATGTTCACAAATCAATGATAGTTGCCTCGATAAAAACTTGCTTAGAAAACCCAATGGGAAAAAAACCTAAGCGAAGGAGAAAAATCGAGCGCCCCGATTATGAAATATTGATATGGTGTTGGATGCATATAATGTTTCCTCGTTAAAACCTTGACAGGAAAATCCCAGCGTGATAAAAACCTGGTCGAAGGGAAAAGTGCACAATGCGCGCATATGTCTATTTATAGCATATTGTTGACTCTCCCTAATCGACAACTACAATTGTCTCCCCTTGATGATAGTAAGTCTAAAGAAGTGTAGAAGTTAATCGGGAGTTGACAACAACCACTTGTGTTCCTGCTAAGAACATATAAATACAAAATCAATTTGAGGATTTAAAATAAAGTAGGAGTGGTATAAACTTCATGATAAATAAATGGGATCTTTTGATATGGGTCCAGTTAGACTAAAAATTGGACCTATTTCAAAAATCAAAAGTCACTAAAAATTGAAGCTATTTCAAAAGATGGGCTATAAAATTGGATCTCTTTCAAATTTTCCCTAAATATAAACCATATATGCAAATAGCCTTATAGGCTCTTCAAGAGTCATACTAAAATTCTTAACTCTTTTAAAGGTATGTTGCAACAATATAATTCAGTTCAAACTAACAAAAGTACTTGTTGAGGCAATTTATACAAAATTTAGCTAGAATAGTTATTGAGTACATATTTTGAGCTTTATGCCATTTAATTGAAATCTTTGGATAAGAATTTCATGGCATTCTCTATTCTTTATGAAATTGCTTCGAGAAAGATATAAAAACTTAAAATCTCAAGTAATATGCAGTCTCCACATGCTATAAATCTCACATTTAAAATAGCACTGTAATTATAGAAATGTGGTTGCGCTTACATTCGTAGACTAGGTCTATATCAAAAAGTGTTATGCCATAATGATTTTATTTCACTTCATCACATACACACAAAAACAACTTGTGGGGTTTAAAACTACAGGTTCACTTATTTCACGTTTTTACAGGCCTCTCAAAAATGAAATTTGTCTCTTAAACAAAGTTGTCAACATTTAATGGAAAAACGTGACTGAATATTCCCTTAAACAATTTTGTCGACATATAATTACTGTAACGTGCCGATCCGGTTCACCGATTTCGGTTTCAACTGGAAGTGCCCATAGCGTTGACATCACGGTTGCAAATTCCAAGAAGACCAACCCAAAACCAAAACCAAAACCAAAACCCGTTTCGCAGATAAACAACTTGTGGCATCCATCCAACCCGTAATACTCCCAAAACCCAATTTCGTTTTGATTCAAACTTCTTCGGATATTCAATCAATTTACTCCCATTCGACCTTCAACTCCATAGCCAGCTCCCTCCTCCAAGACTTCCAGCAAAGACTGCAAATTTTGGTTAATTTCTGCAAACCCTTTTGCTGATTTTTGTTAAAGAGGTCGAATTTCTGGGATTTGAGAGCACCCATTTGGTTGGTTTTCCTGGAAAAAAGTCAAATTTTGTTGAATCTGTGAAACCCATTTGCTCGTTTAATTGAGTGTTTGATGAATTTGTACTGGGTTTTGTGTTTTTTGTTATATTTTGAAGAGCGGAGATGGAGATTGACAAGGCAATAAAAGAGTGTGATGATCGAAGGCTGAAGACCAAGTACAACAACGCTATCTATGTTATTCAGAGAGCTCTTGCGCTCTACTCGTAAGTTCTTCTTTGTTTGTTCCCTTCTGGGCATTGTTTGTTTTTGGTGAATTTTCGAGCTTCTGCAATTTATGTGAACTGAATGCTGTGGTTTTTTTTTTATATGGGGATTAGAAAAGGAGATGGGTTTTTGAATTGTTGCTTTGGAAGAAATATGTAGGACTTTTGAACTGAACCAAGTAGTTATAAGTAGGTTCAGTGTTAATGAAACTTATAGAAACCGTTTTTTCAGTTTATTTTTTCTACATTTTCTCAGAAGTTAAATGGGTTGAGCTCAAAACTCTGTATCAATTACTTTGTAACAATGTTTCTGCTCCTTTTCGTCTCCTCCCCGTGCATCTTTGATTTTCAACTCAATGCAGTTGCCAGACTGTTGTTTCGGAATTTTTGACATGTTTAACTTCGTATTATGTGATGCTATTTCTGTCAGGTGCTCTAAACCTGCAATATAATAAAAGGAAAAACAAATAAGTTGGTTAGTTGATTACTGATACTGTTTTGATTTAATCAAAGGTAGAAGCAAGTACTTGGATATTGATGTGCGGAAGTATCTAGTAAAATAATTATTCGAATCTAAGCGATGGATTTGATTCTTAGTAAACGTTACTCTGCTTTTCCTTGTCGGTTATTGCCTGGTTTGTCGCTATCCGTTTAAGATCCTTTGGATGTATAACCATGTGTTGCTGGCGGTTTGGGCACTATGAATCAGACTACGCTTGCAAATTTCTGTGTGAAATTTTGAATATCTTGCAACCTTATCTGGAAAGAAATCCCATATCAAATGGATTAAAATTGTTCAACCATTATTAGGAGATTAAGGGTTGAATATCACTAATTAATGTATACATTTGAATCAAACAGCATTGGAAAATAATAAAATAAATATATGCACTTGAGGTGCTCCTGCTCTCCATATACCTTAGAGTTCGAATTTTCACACTTAAACTCAACTTTTGAAACATTGAGATTTGAACAGTCACTCTCTATAGTCTATATGCAAGTACTAAATTGTTTTCATCAACAGTATTGAAGAGGTTGCCTTCAGCTTCAATGGGGGAAAGGATTCAACTGTAAGTTTACAAGTGATTTTACTGGTTATCCATTTTTCTCAGTTGCTATCTTTGTCATTGATAGTATTGTTGAGAATATCGCGTTTAAGAATGGGAAAAATAGAACAAATTCAGGAAATCGAAAAACAAATAACCAAGATAAATTACACCAAGAATTTACGTGGTTTGGCAATATGTGCCTACGTCCACGGAACAGCAACAACAATCTTTCACTATATCAATAATGAGTACAACCAATAATCTTGCCAAATCTCTAGAACTAGGACTTGATGAAAAACCTAAAAGAACAAGAACAAGAAATACACTATCTCTTTTCTTTTCTCTAGCACACACTTTACAATATTCTCTCACTCTAATCCCTTGAGTGGTATACAAAATATTGTTTTGCTCCCTTCCATTCAAAATTAGTACAATAGCCCCTTTATATAGACATAATAAAGGTCTTCTTCAATAAGGATTATTAATCCTAATTGGAATCTAGTTATAAATCCTACTCCAATTGAGAAATTAACTCCAATTAGGTAAACAAGTCCAATTGGGAAAACAATTTAATCCTCTACGACTATAATTCCTTATAGACTTAGGACAACTTATCATGGGATGAAAAACCTAACAATCTCCCCTCCTTCCAGACTATAAGGAAGGTATACCAAAAAATAGGATTGTTCCTCTTGACCAAAGTCCCATTGATTGAACCGTTCATGACTGCGCTCCCCTTGATTGAACTACTCATGACCAGACTCCCCTTTATCCAACAATTCATTTACCAAGACCCTCTTGATTAGATTTCTCTTGACTAGGCTCCCTCTGATCACAATACCCATGACCAGACTCCATGTGATCGAACATCTCTTGACCAAACTTCTCTTGACCAGGCTCTCCCTGATCAGAACTACCATCATTGTTGGCAAAGGCAATTATAGACTTCTTTGCCAGAAAACATCGCTTATCTTCATCTTGGTCCAATCAGCATCAGACATACTTGCTGGCTTGCTCTTAACACCTTCAGTAAAGCATGTCCTCTTCTTGATTTCCACGTAACCCAGTTGGAGTGGGTGAGTTTCATCATAATTGCACCCTCCATTCTAAACGGATATCAGCCAAACCTGGCATTGATACCACTTGTTGAGAATATCGCTTTTAAGAATGGGAAAAATAGAAAAACTCCGAAAATCGAAAAACAAATAACCAAGATAAATAACACCAAGAATTTACGTGGTTCGGCAATATGCGCCTATGTCCACGGGACAGCAACAACAGTCTTTCACTATATCAATAATGAGTAGAACCAATAATCTTGCCAAATCTCTAGAACTAGAACTTGACGAAAAACCTGAAAGAACAAGAACAAGAAATACACTATCTCTTTTCTTTTCTCTTGCACACACTTTACAATATTCTCACTCTAATCCCTTGAGTGGTATACAAAATATTGTTTTGTTCCCTTCCATTCAAAGCTAGTACAATAGCCCCTTTATACAGACATAATAAAGGTCTTCAGGATTATTAATCCTAATTGGAATCTAGTTATAAATTGTACTCCAATTGAGAAACTAACTCCAATTGGGTAAACAACTCCAATTGGGAAAACAATTTAATCGTCGAAGACTATAATTCCTTATAGACTTAGGACAACTTATCATGGGATGGAAAAACCTAACAAGTATTAGTAACTTGGTTGTGTAGGTTTTGTTGCACCTACTCAGGGCTGGCTACTTTTTGCATAAAGGGGAGCAAAGCTGTTCCAACGAGTGTGTGAAAGATTTTCCTATGCGAACGATATATTTTGAGAGCCCATCTGCTTTCCCTGAAATCAACTCGTTTACTTATGATGCAGCCACTACGTGAGAGATGCTTCCCGTTTTACTCTCATTGTTTACTTATGTCTTAAAATGTCATTGAGGATCATAAGTTCTAGTTTTAGCATATAGATTTAAAGGTTCGAGATGTAGCCTTCTAGTAACATATTCTTTTTTAAGCAGCTATGGTTTGCAACTAGATATCATCCGCTCTGATTTCAAGTCTGGTTTGGAGGATTTACTTAAATCAAAACCAATCAAAGCTATTTTCCTTGGTGTCCGAATCGGTGATCCTACTGCGGTAATTGATTTTCTGTATCCGCGAAGATACAATCATATTGAACATATATCTTTTGTTGTCAGATTATTCTGCAGATGTTTCCTACAAAGATGCCTTAACTCTTGTGACTCGCAGGTTGGTCAAGATCAATTCTCTCCTAGTTCAGTTGGATGGCCACCCTTCATGAGGGTGAATCCTATATTGGATTGGTCATACAGGTATGTTTCGCACCTTTTGCTCTCTCATCTATTTTCTTTCTTTTCTGCATATGGAAAGCTCTGTTAGAAGCAACATTGCCTTTATAGTGCTTTTCTCCTTGAAAGAAAGAAAAATGAGTTATCTATATACAAAATTTCCTCTTATTGAGAAACAACAAACAAAGCCCTGGATAAGCCACAAGAAGATAATTCTAGTATTAGGTATCAGGTAACTACTGATTTAATGCAACATGAGGCTTTATAATGTCATATGATCTGAATTATATGCTTTCATATGACAATTAAGTGCGACCTAGAAGTGTATTTGATCAAAATTCTAAACTGAAGTAAATTCGAAGCTATAGAATTTAGTTAATCGTTGCATTAGACCAACAGTAGGCTTCCTCTTTATCCAAATTCAAAACTCTTGTACGTTCATGGGGTTTGACTTCCATGTGTTTCATTGCAGAGATGTGTGGGCCTTTCTCTTAACTTGCAAAGTGCAGTACTGCAGTCTTTATGATCAAGGGTATGTGGCTTGAACTGTTGCTTTGATGCTTGACTTTTTTCAATGCTCGCCATATTTTGAGTTGGTTCCTGATGCAGACATCATAATGTTTCCTTTGATTGTACTCTTCTGTTATACTTGTTTAGTCATATTCAACGAAATTGACGTGTTATTTCGTTTTCACAGTTATACTTCAATTGGAAGCATACATGACACAGTTCCAAATGCATTATTGAGCATTAACAATTCATCTGACAACAAAGAAGTATTTAGACCTGCGTATTTACTTTCTGATGGAAGATTAGAGAGAGCCGGGAGGGTTAAAAAACTTCCTCCTTCAGTTCGTGGGAATAAGCCTGCTGCTATCAATGGCCTTGATGGTGTGGGCTTACATAAGAGTGGCCTACTCATGGCCTCAGCCATTGCTGTGGGGGATGAGATTTTGTAAGTCCTTTGTTGGTACTACATTCTTTTGTTGCAATCAATATCCATAATAATATGGTTGTGCCATGATAATATGAAATCCTGTATTCCATTGGTTGCGCCATGATATCGATGATCAGTGATTACTTATTAAAAAGTTTCAGGCGCTTTGTTGGATTTTCAGTAGTTAACAGAATCAGTACAAACCATTTTGTTCAACTATTCTCTTTTGTTTTCAGTAGCCTTTCATTATCTCACAGTTTAAGGCTGAAGGATTACTAAATTTTTCAAAATTGTGTTTAGGCCCTAATGAAATTGGATTTAGCACTTCGAGTTAATTTTATTAGTCATCGTGTCCCTGTTCATGATCATTATTTTTCTTATATTTTTTAATTATCACTTGTGCAAAGGAAAACATAAACAGTCATGTGTAGAAAACTGACATAGTATTAACTATTACATAACTTCAAAACATGAAGGAAAGGTAAAATTCATGATTTAGATGTCATAGTATCTTCTGTACCTTAACCTAATGTTATTACTGAAGTTTATTCTTTTCTTTATCTGTTTGATAGCTCAGGTTTGGCACTGTTGAGGATCAATTAGGGCCTTCACTGTGTAGAAAGCTCCATTCTATTGGCTGGTCGGTATCACAAACTGTTGTTGTTCGGAATGATGTGAGTTACCATTGCAATTTAATTTGTTAAACATAGTTTGCCTAGTTCAGTTACCTATATATCAATTTATGTAACTGCAATAATGGATGTGCAGTTATGCATGGAAACTGAAACATTTACTCAAATCACCTTACATTTTCATTTCCATGACATTCTCTTGGTAACAGGTAGATGCTGTGGCCGAAGAAGTCGAGCAACGCCAATCAACTGATGATATGGTAAATCTTTACAATCTGTTTGAGAGTTCTTAGGTGGTTCTTAATTATGAAATGGATTGAGGGATTTTTCCCTTTTTTGTTCTAATCTCTAGCCCATGTTATTTGACATTACTATGTAGGTATTTATGTATGGAGGGGTTGGCCCACTGCACTCAGATGTCACTTTGGCAGGTGTTGCAAAGGCTTTCGCAGTTCGTCTGGTATGTTTATTTTGACTGAACTTTCTAAAGCACATAGAGAGTGATATGTTAATGAATCTATTAGTATTTCATTTTTGGAAAAAACGGAAATCTGTATTAACCCTTCAACCTTCATGGACTTGTAAAATGGAGTCCATAGGAATATCATTGAGATGTCCTAATTTGTCGAAATTTTTTAGTTTTTCTCTAATCCTCTAACAATATTGAGGTTGGTGAATCTTCATTGTTTAGGCTCCTGATGAAGAATTTGAAGAATATCTGAGGCATCTTATAGGTGATCAATGCACTGGTGACCGGAATGAGGTACTTGGATGTCAAGAGTTTCTTATACTTAATGCAATGTATCATGATCTCATTTTGCTTTTTTTTTTTTTTTCATTTCTGTTGGTTGTCACTTTCTGTGTACTATTATTATGTTCCCATAAATAGTTATTTACTTACCTTATTGTGCTAGAAGCTTCACAGTTCACAGCATGGATTTGATTGTATTCTTGCTTTTGCCTTCTCAGATGGCTCTTTTGCCTGAAGGTATCACTGAACTATTGCATCATGAAAAGCTGATTGTCCCTTTGGTATGTGTTTGAAAAGTCACATATGAAGTTTTTCTTTTTGTATGTTCTGTTAGCTAGAATTTATGACATCGTTACTGGGAATAATCTAAAAGTGTCCTCTTGAGTGATTTGTGTGCATATATACATCCGACCAGTAAAGTACTAATTATATATAGACTCAAATGATTGACTCTTTCAGATCAAGTGTAAAAATGTAATAATCTTTACGGCAACAAATGTCTTGGAGCTGGATGAGCAGTGGAACTGTCTAATTGAACTAATGATATCCGATGGTGGGCTAGCAACGATGCAACCATTTGTATCTAGGCACTTGACAACAAACCTTACAGATGTAAGTAATTCTGTATTCCATGTATCTTCAATTAAGTCTTGAAAATTTGGGTGTGCGTACACAACACACTTCTTGTTTTTTTCCAGACAATCTCTTGTTAATTACTAGACTGTTAAATGGAAGCACACGTTTAAACAATAAGCCATGGTGGTCCTCACTGACAGTCTGACAACATTAGCATGCAAGACTTGTAAAGCTTTACCACCCCTCAAAATACTGCAATCCCTGCTAGTTCGTTAGTGTAGCTTCCATTTTAACTTCTAACATCTTATGCATAATCCTCTTTGTGTGAATCACTCCTATGTGCATAAGTTGGGATGATCATTCTTGTACTCTGTGCTTGGCCTATTTTTTACCATAAAGGTACATGAGATGAATCATTAGGGGGAATATAGGCTCGTTTGGTGCCTAAGATTGGATAACTAAAAAAATTCAAGGTATGTTGTAGTAAAAAATAATGTTAGAGGTGGCTAGAACGGTAAGCTATTAGGTGTTGATATCCTACCATTTATGGGGTAACGGGGATTGGAAGGGATAACTTTCCTTCATGACTAATTCGTCTTCAACCTTCAACTTGGTCAAAATTTCTTCATTGCTTTCTTCAACATACATTTGAATGTAGAGGTGTTGATATCCTACCATGTATGGGGTAACGGGGATTGGAAGGGATAACTTTCCTTCATGACTAATTCGTCTTCAACCTTCAACTTGGTCAAAATTTCTTCATTGCTTTCTTCAACATACATTTGAATGTAGAGAGTAATTAAATCCTAGTTAAATCCTAGGCACCAGACGAGCTTATAGTACTTATGCCAGGAGATATAAGTGGTCTGTTGTCTTTGTGTATGTAGCCCACTATCAGAAGGATACCGTATCCATTTTTCTGAATGTTAGTCATGAAAGTACTGAGTTGGGTAATTGAGAAGGTCACATTTTCTTAGAAATTCTGGAATTTCTAAAGCATGCAATTAATTGGGTATGCATAACAAAATTGATGTCTTACTAATTGTGTGGTAGTCATCTCTTTTTTATTGGGTGAAAAATGCAGGTAGAAATTGCTCAACCTCTGTCAAAACTTTGCCTGGAGTTTCCAGACCTTTACATTGGTGAGTGCCTTTTGAAAACTTTAGATCTCTCGGACAACATGATATCATATATGAATTCTAATAGTGATCTTCCATGGAAAATACAAAGGTTGTCGTCGCAAATCAAGGAAGGAGCCTCTTATAATCTATTTTGAGGGCAAGGTACTAGAACATTTCTTGAGGTATTATGCATATATATATAAGTTGTTTGAATGACTATAACTGATTGAGTAATTTTGTTGCAGGACCAAGATCAAATTCAATCAGCCATAGAGGCATTGTGCAAGAAGTTCCATCCGGGGGCTTTCGTAGAAACAGCGGTTGTTCAACTGGTCTTCTGAGGCTTCAAAATGCTGAGTTATCCTGCACTTGAACCGGCCTCTCTTGTACGAAAATGATGATGGAACAAGCAGAACCCTCTCAGTATATTTGAATGGAAGAAGGAGATCATTGAAGTGGAATTTGGAAGGGGAGCAAGACGAGAAGGAAAACATTACAACATTATAGATGCTGGTAGCTGGGCAAAGCCCCCCCTCCCTATGAAATTGGGGAAATGTTTAACTAATGATTATGGACAAACGAACTTCGCACTGGATGCAATCTAACTCAGTTTACAATTCTATTTGAGGTGATCGACCGGACGGTTCTTTTCGATCACTTGTTAGCTTTATCTTGGTCAATCACACAAATCCAATGTACAACTAACAAATTAACGTATTAAGGTTCACTTGACATGAATCTAACGATGTCACTTATGTTAGTGTCGTATGAATAATTTTATTGCCTGTTTAACTGCTAATTATACAAATAAAATGTTGAAATTGTATAGGGTGTTTTTATGGTGAAGAATTTATGCTAGTGTGGGAACTGCATGTTCTTGGTTGTGATTCTTGTGTGTTGTCAACCCTGTAACAAATGGTTTTCGTTTTCTTTTTTAAGATTGAAAATAAAATTATGTAATCTACTTGAATTTTGATTGGGTGAGTTACAAAATGGGGGAGGAATCTTGAAGACAATAAATTCAAAAGAGCTGCACGAAGGGGCCCTAGACGGAAAAAGCCCGGGCTTACACATTAAGTTAGGAAGGACATGTTTATTTACAAGAAATGAAAATGAAAATTATTCCTTTTTACTGGATGAAATATTCTATTTCTGACAAAGAAGTATTTGTCCGTCGAATAAATATTCCACGTGGCTTGGACTGGCTCAAATTTGCGTTGACTCTAACCATTGATCGGTCAACGTTGATTGATGACTTTTTATGGAATTGACTATAGAACCCTTCTTAGGATATTTTGGCGCGCTGATTCCGTTTTCGCAATTCGTTTCTTCAAATTCAATTATTTTAATGGAGTTTTTTTCTAATGGGTCCGTATATAAGCCTAGGAGAAATTGTTATCGGTAATCTTGTCCTTTATAATTTGAATTTTATTTTCAAGTGCATTATATTTATATAGTTTTCAAAAATGCTTTGTTTAAAGTATTTTTCTACATCATGTCATGATTACACTTATCTTTAGAAGTACTATCATCTTCCTAAGTTTTATGAAACTATCATGGCATGATCATACATATTTTATATGCTCATCATACATTCCTATACTAGTGATTTGTACTTGTTTGGGCAATGTATGTTCACATCACATCGATACACTCGCATTGGATTCATTAAGTGTCAACCTGTACTAGTCTGTATTAGGCAACTATATCTCTTACATATGATGAACGTAGCACCAGTTTCACGTATATGTGGTACTAAGACGTAGATCATTATTACAACCAACATGTTTCATGTTAGAATCTCTCTGCACAAACTCGTATGTCCGCACATGGCGATGATCATTTGATATTGTATGTTATTATATTTGAGATATTGTCATTTACTATAATCTTAAAATGTTTTATTATACGGTAATTGGTTTTCATACTAATACGTAGGGTAAATTACACAAATTCACCTCAACTATAGATCACACCATAATCTCATACCCCATGTTTTAAATATTGCAATGTCATATCTCATTTTATGTATTCATTGCAATGCCAAACCTTTATTAAATTTTATGTCAATTTTCCTGTTAAATGATGATGTGGCAGGTGTGGAAGCCACTCTCACACCAATTGAGTTAAAAAAAATTACTTAAATATTAGTAATTAATGAAAAAAAAGGTTATTATTTATACAACTCATTACTTTATAAAAAAATTTAAAATTCTAAAAATCTAAATAAAAATAATAATATAAAAACTGAATATTTCGACGGCAACGAAGAGTCGACGGGAGGGGGATGGAAAGGGATCAGGAGTCGACCGGTCGACGGTCGACGAGGAGAGGTGCGTCAACGACTCAACGGATAGGTGCAAATGACAGAACCCAATCCTACCGCCGTCGTCTTCTTCCGCCAATTAAACGAAAGCTGCAATTCCCCCAAATCAATACAAACCCAACCCAAAAAACCAAATCAAATCACAAAAATAATTGGAAATAATGGAAATTGGAGAAGTAGACGTCAGATTTTTCAATGGGGGGGGGGGGTTTATCAAAAAAAAAGGTTGGCTGTATACCCATTCGTCGGGGCTCGTCTGCAACAAAACCTCGAGCTCGTCGTTTTATATGGTGATGCCGGCGTTGGGGTGCAAAGATGAAGTGGAAGAACATTGATAGGTGCATATTTATGCGACTTAGTTAGCTTGTTTTCTTGCATTTTCATAGTTAGTTTGCGTTTAGTATAGTGATTTAAGCTATTTTCATTTGTTTGTAGGTCTAATTGGCAAAGTTGGCAAGAAAGTGTATTTTGAAGCATTTTAGAGCAATTATGGGCTGAAATGGATTGCATGCATGTGGAGCACAATGAATGGACGTTTTTGAAGATCAAGTGAAGCTAGGAACGTGCTAAAGAGATGGAGAAATCAATTCAAGACATGGAAGATGAATAATCAGCTGCAAGGGCACCTAAAACCCTTCTAAAAGGCCTATCCTTCTCTTATACATGTGCCGCACCACCCTTTCTAGAAGCCCTAGAAAGGTGGCACCCCAAACCCTTCTAGAAGTCCCAATTTATGCCACAAAACATGTTCTTTCTAGAAGCCTAAAAAAGTGGCGCCTATTCCCTTTCTAAAAACCTAAAAATCTGCCACAAACCCTAGTTTTTTTCCACCTTAGATTGGGCCAAGCCTTTGCCGCAAAACCCTAGCCTTTTCCCATCAGAATTTGTGAAAACCCTAGCTTATAAATATATGTTTTCAGCCACAAAGTTGTGAACCACCCCCTACCATTCAGAAACACATCCTGCCGCACCATATACACCATTCTACAACCTTTTGCTGCAATTTTGGAGAAGAAGGAGTCTTGCCGTGCCTTCCATTGATGAAGGAGGGCCTTGTGCACAAGCCACCTGCAACCATTGGAGTTCTAAGAGTTCTTTCTTTTCTTGTTTTAGTTTCAATGTTTATTTCAATTTGCTTTTCAATTGCTGTGAACATGTGTAACTAAGTTTTTCTTAGTTAGATGTGAATTCAAAGCTATGGACGTATGTTTAATATGAATTGATTCCTTTCAGTTATTGTTTCATAAAACATGAATGAGTTTTACTTATCTATTTGCTTGATAACTTATTCTTGTGTGTTGATTAAGGATGCATACTTAGTTTGCATGCATGAATCTGATGTTAAATTATAAGGAACTTTCACCTAATCGTTAGGAACTTATAATTACAAGTAGTGGAGATTGTTAGTCACAATCGTGTTAAGTAGATTCTTGGCAAGAGTATCATGCAGTTCATAGTTATAATTGTCTTGTCAATGCTTATGATTTCCGTGGAACTTAATGATTTTTGAATGTATTTCTATCATGTTGTTCATATAGGGAACTTGAGAAGAATAATTTGGTTGCGATGCGTTGTCTATTCAATTCAAGGAATTTAGGGAAATTTGAGAGTTAATTTGTGCATTCATGATTAATTTGGGGCATTGTGTTTAAAGAAACAATACTGGAAATCAATTTATGTTGCATATGTTTCATGTGTGGAGAAGGACCTTCTAACTAGCCTATTTCACCATTCAATTCACCCAATTTCATATCTAGTTTACTTTGGTTTGCAATCTGTTTAGTTTTACTTCAATTTCGTCAAAACCAAATCCCCTTTTCTATTTGGTGTTTTTAGGTCAGAATCTGTCCAAACTAGATTCTTCAAAGTGTTTTGAGTTAATATAAGTTAGAATTAGTCCATAAACTTTGTTTGAGTCTTAATTAGTCTTAAATTTGTCCAAATAACTCCCTAGAGTCTGTTTTCAGTCTAATTGTTAGTATTGTGCTGTTTTGAGTCTTTTAAGTGTGTTTTGAGTTAGTTAAGTCATAATCTGTTTTCTTTTAGTCTTTAGTTAAGTCATAATCTGTTTTCTTTTAGTCTTTTGAGTCAAATTAAGTTTTATTTTCGTCCAAATCACTTGTTAGGTCTAGAATTGAGTATTTTTAACTTAGTTTTGTTGATTTGAGTGTTTTAGGTCAGTTTAGAGTCTATAAAGTCTAGTCTTGTGTTTTTAAGTCTAGTTTAGTGTTTTTGAGTCATATTTGTGTATTAGCAGCCCTAGTTAATCAACGGCCTAGAACGACCCCTACTTTCATATACTACAACTATCTTAATAGGGTTTAATTTGTGTGTTGGATTATTTCACATCAAATTTTAGCGCCGTTGCCAGGGATTAGCAACTTTGCTAATCCCCCGTTGTTTCTTTTTGTTTATTTTCGTGTCTTTTACTTTTGATATTTGATTGAGTTTTCTTTCTTTGATTTTAAGTACTAGAGAAGCAAGATATGACAATTGATAACATTCAGGCTCAAATAGCAAATCTTACTTCTCAATTGTCACAGTACATTAACATGACCATAATACAAAGCACCCTTACATTCGATGTGTCCTATACATAAGGATATCAAGCTGATCAACATCCACAAAGAAGTTGGGAGAGTGTCAATACCTGGGGTTGTCAAGATCACAATCAATCAGGGAACAATTTGTTTTCCAACATGTACAATTTGGATTGGAGTGATCATTCAAACACTATGTGGTGGGAACCTCAATTAGTTCAACATGAAGCATATTGGCAGCTATATGAAGAGTTCTATTCAAGACCTATGCAGCCACCACAACCTCATATACAATATGCCAAACCAAACTCAGTTGTCAATAGATTATGATCAAATTCTTGATGAACTAACTTCTTTGGCGCATGGCTCACAAAATCAAGCCAAGGAGGCTCAACAAGGAGAATATTGGCAGCCATATGAGGAGTTCTATATAACGCCTATGCAGCCACCACAGCATGCCCCGTAACAATTCCAACCGAATTCAGGTTCGTCAATAGATTGTGCTCAAATTCTTGATATACTAACTTTTTTGACGTAGGGATTACAAAATCAAGACCAAGTAATGAGAGAATTGAAGAATGAAATGGGAGAGATAACGAAATTCATGGGACAAATGCAAGAACAAAGTGAACTCTCCAACTCAACTATTGTAAATTCAATGGGAGATTTTGAAATCACTGAAGCAATCACTTTGGGAAGTGCTATGGAGATTGGAGATGACCTAAAAACATCCAAACATATCCTAGAAGAGGACAAGAAGCTACTGATGGAGGAGGAGGAAGAAGACACACCCACGGCAAGGGAAGAACAACCCTTGCCGCAGGTCCTTAAAGCTTTCATGCCATGCAATTCAGGTAATGTTGTTCCAAATTCAATTCTTTCTAAACCTATTCCACCAAATGTCCCTTTTCCTCACAGGTTCATGATTTCCAAGGAAGAAGAGAGTGAAAAAGACATCGTGGAAGCACTCCCAAAGGTGCCAAGTACTATCCCGATTCTTGTTACAACAAAACAAGTTCCA